TGCTGCCTATATCTGGTTTCTAGCATAGATCATGGCAGTTTAGTCTTATGGGAGGATCCAAACTTTCTGTGTTCAATAGTAGAGACAGAACAATGTCAAAAATTGAACTATCTCTGTGAATTCTGACTAAACCTTTATTTTACCCATTAATATATGCTTCTAAGTGATATTTACAGAGCTCTGGTGTATTTCTACCCAACAACACCAAGTATATATTATTTATTTGCACTATGGTGGTCATCAGTTCTGTCAGAACACCTGCTGTGCCCTAACAATTAATACTAAAAGTTATTTTATGAAGTTTCTTTCTCAGATAATTGTGAAGTGAGAACATATTCTTATGATGGAAAAATATTGCCCTTTATGACATGAATCCTGCAAATTCATAGTAATATAGCAAATTTTAAGAGGCAGTCTGCAAAGCCCTTGCAAAGGTAAGTATTCATTTTATGATTTTGCTTTTCTTGATAAGATTGTGAACTAGCTAATATGAATTAGCCTTTGAAAATCTGTTTCTACTCTACAGGGGCTAAATCCAAAGCAATTCTCACCGCATTATGGGTTTTTCAGCAACCTTTCCTGTAGCCTTGTCTGGTTGCAAACACATATGCTGGAAGGTTTCCCAGCCCTCTATAGCAGGTCACTTTTCTAGGGCATGGGGTGGTGAGGGGTAGGAGAATTGTCCTCTTTCTTGCCTGTCCCAGGAGAAGGAGTTTCCACAGTGCCACAACTGCAGTGAAGACAGTCAAAGGTACTTGGGCCCAGGGATTAGCCTGTAAGACAAGCAAGTAATTGCTTCTTGGAAAATTTATTCCAGAGCTATATATACAAGTATCTTTGGTTAAAACATGAAGAAAAAAGACAGTTCCAAAGTAAGGGCTACTTGGAAAAGGCAGAATGTAAAAGTTCTCATGGTACTTGGGAAATGCAATATAGCTGATTGCAGTAGAATCCTTATTCATTTGTTTCTGTTTACTATATTGTTAGTGCTGCTATTTTCTAGATTATGCCATGCCATAGATGCCATGGTAAAACAGCAGTTAATATATATTAAAATACATAGTTGGACTATCACATTAATAGGATACAGATGGTTATGTTTGTTCTTTTCCTTCTGCAGGTGTCATCTCACTGATGGTTAAAATAAAAGGTATTTTGTCTTTCTTGTACATATTTATTCAGAACACCCATTCAGATAATGTGCTTTATACCAAGTTGTACATAGGATTCTGGTCTCAGTCTGAAATAATATATATCACTTTTAGTTTCAGCTAAAATGACTAAGAATGACTATGTGCTTCAAAATCTGTTGCTTAATTGCAAAACAGAAGTTCTGCATATACTGTATACCCACTTGATCCCTTCTTGATCTAAATGCCGTTTTAAAATTCTTCATTCATTCACTGCAGTCTATAAGGTAATCTTCCACAATTTAATAGATATGAAATAGAATCAACAATACATGCTACAGTGACACGTGCTTAGTGTCATTATTATTTATTTATTTATTTATTTATTTTATTTATTCGGCTTCTATATTGCCCATCTGGCTACTAGGCCACTCTGGGCAGTTTACATGTTAGACAAATAAAACATACACTATACCAACAATGAACATAATAATAAAAATCAAAATAAAGATAAAACAACCAACAATTTAAATAAAATAAAATGAAATAATATATATAGCAAGACAGCAGGATTAATAGTATAAATGTTGAGACCACTCACTGTAATTAGATGTTGAATGCCTTCTGGAAAAGCGACATTTTAAACAGTTGCTTAAAAATTCCCAGTGAAGGGGCCAGGCAGATTTCAGGCAGGAGCTTGTTCCAGAGCTGAAGAGCAACCACCGAGAAGGCCCAGTTTCTGGTTCTCTCTTTCTGGGCCTCTCTCGGGGTCATAACACTCAACCGCCCAGCCTGGGAAGATGGAATGGGGTGGGCAATCTCATCAGGAGGAGGTATTCTGTCAGGTATCAAGGTCCCAAACCATTTAGCGCTTTATAAGTTAACACTATTACCTTGAAGCTGGTAGGAAAACAGACAAATAACCAGTGCAGGGTGGCCAGGGTGGGAGAAATGTGTTGATGTTTCTTAACACCACTCAGTAATCTGGCTGCCATGCTCTGGACGTGCTGAAGTTTCTGTAACAGCCTCATGGGCAGCCCCACATAGATAGTATTACAGTAGTCTATTCTCGAGACTACTACTGCATGAACCCCAGTGTCAAGGTAGGGACTCAGCTGGGCAATCTGCCTTAGGTAGAAGTAGGCAGAATGGACCACAGAAGCTATTGAGGTTCCATTGACAGTGCTGGGTCCAGATTACACCCAAGCTGTGAACCTCATCCTTAGCGGAGAGAGTAGCCCCCCCAAAGGAGAGAGAGGTACCCAATTCACAAACACTAGGGGCACCCACCTGCAGGATCTCCATCTTGCCCGGGTTCAGACTCAGTCTATTATCCCTCATCCACTGCAGCACAGCATCCAGACAGCACTCAAGGGGTGGAACAGCATCCTCTACAAAAGGGTGGAAGAAGAGATAGAGCTAGTTTCATCCACATATTGGTGTCACAAAGCTACGAAGCTCCTGATGATCTCCCCCAGGGGCCTCATATAGATATTAAACAGCATTGGGGAGATGATGGACCTCTGAGGGACTCCACAGTCAAGGGTCTAGGGCTGGACATCATCTTGCCAAGCTGTACTCTCTGAGGACAGCTTCCTCAAGGAAGGATCAGAGCCAGGCCAAGGCCAGACTGATCCCAACTCAGAGAGCTGGCTCAGGAGGATACCATAGTCAATTGTATTGAAGGCTGCTTATAGGTTGAGCAGGACCAGCAAGGACATTTTGCCCCGTCAGTCTCCCTCAAAAGGTCACCTTGCTGGACAGCCATCTCTATGCCATGGTGCAGCTTGAAACAGGACTGGAATGAATCAAGATCATCAGTTTCCTCCAGGAGTGCCTTAATATAATCAGGCACCACTCTCTCCACTAGCTTGCTGAGGAAGGGAACATTGGCAGTGGGTCGATAGTTGTTTATATCATTTGCTGGCTAGGTAGGCTTTTTACGGGTAGGTTTGGGAAGTGTCTCCTTAAGGGCTCAGCAAACCCTGCCCTCAAGGAGAGACCCATTAATAATACCAATAGCCCATTCTTTTCTTACCATCCAGGCCGCTTTTATGAGCCAAGCTGGGCAAGGATCTAGGGAAGTAGCAGTGGCCCTACAGCGCTCAAGCACCCTGTCCACCTCTGCTGACATCACAGGCTGAAAACATGTTAAACAGTACAGTGGACATCTCGGCTTGATATACTGGAGAAGAAGGATGGTCAAGGTCCCAGTGGATGGCCTCCACTTTTTGTTTAAAGAAGGCCGCAAATTGGTCACAGGAGATATTACTGGGAGGCCTGTCACTATGACCAACCCTGGAGAAATCACATGCTATACAAAAGAGTTTGGCCTGATGGTTTTGAGCTTCACTTATCCAGGTGGTGAAATATGTTCTCCTAGTGGCTTTCACCTTAGCTAAGTAGAAGTTTGATGTGCTTTTTGCAGCTTTTAGATTAGATCCCGTCAGGGCCCGTCTCCAGCCTCTTATTTTGCTTTGTTGCCTACAAATGTTGGTTATACCAGGGGATGGGCAGGCTCAGCAGTGGAGGGCAGATTTAGGTGCAATTGTGTCAACAGCCCTGACAGCGTCATCATAGCATCCTTCCACTAGAGCCACGACAGGAGTGCCAACCAGATCAGCTGGTATCCCTCGCATTGTGTCTTGAAAACCAATTGGATCCAGTACAGGGGCAGACAATCTTAATGGGTCCTTGCTCCCCGTGGGGAGGAAGTGCCACTGAGAGGCTGCATTTTATCTGGCAGTGATCTGACCATGACGAGGGGACCAACAAGGTCAGTCACCTTCGGATCACTCTCCATCTGCCCCATTGAAAACACCAGGTTTAGATATGGCCTGCCATATGGGTGGGACCGTTGATATACTGAGGTATTTCCAAGGAAGACATGGTTTCAAAGAACTCATGTACTGGACAAGTGGCTTCCATCTCAGCATGGATGTTGAAGTTGCCCAAAACAGGGAGTGACCTTGGGTGACCTCAACACAGCCACTGAGATGAAGCCTGCCAGCTCCGTAAAGGAGACCCCAGGGTCGCAGGGAGCACAGTAAATCAGCACTATCCCAAATCCATCCCTGATCCTCCCCGACACATGGAGGGCCTCTAGGCTTTGTTATGCCAAACATATCCTTTTGTTAAAATCTAAAATATTTGACACTACATCCATGTGCAGCTGGTGGCAAACAAACTTACTAATTGTACATAAGGGATGACAATTTAATTTTTAAGACATTTTCATTAGTAATGTAAAATATGTTTTACCAACATGGGGGGGGGGGATCTCTTGTTTGGTACAGAGTGTATGCATGTTAGCCAAAATCTGAGCTTTCTCTAAGGCAGTTCAAGAAAGAGGGAAGGAATTGATTCTGCGGAGCAGAATGTTTGTTTGCAGGAAAGAGCTTACAGATCTGGGCCAAATAACATTATATTAAGCACATGATTAGATTACATGCTTAGTTTTTATACACTAAACTGAATGGGCCCAATCCAGCTACAGCTTATATGTTGCGTGAGGGAAAGACTGAACAATTAAATCTAAACAATTAAATGTTAACTGTCTTATGCTGTTGTCCACATTTGGATCATCCCTTCATCACACAGTTGTTACTGGAGTTTGAATGCAGTGGGGGGGAGGAGTAAAAGGACTATTAAACCATCAAATGTTAACATAGGCCCAGATCCCTAAGCACACTTAATAGATATAGAGTAATTCCTATTGACGACAGTAGAATGTACTTCAGAGTAAATACACTTAGAAGTATGCTTTAAGTGTTTTAGGATTAGGGCTGTAATTCAGTTCCCTTTCTAAATCAAAGTTATTAGGAAATAATTAAAATTATTGTCATCTGAAACTGATTTGGGTTTGTCAGCTGAAAATCAGCTGCAGTCATTTAGGGAACGGAATGTGGGAGCTTGGAAGAAAAAGAACACATTTAAGGAAAAAACACATGAATTGCCCAGCACTCTCTTTTTTTGAAGGAATTCACAATTTTCAGGTGGTTAATCTGCATTTCTTAAACATATTCCAAGATAGTTATGCCATCACCTCTTCCTGTTAGTCGTCTCCGTCTGGAATTTTCTCCATCTGTTAATGCACGACCCTGCAGTAGCCCCCTGGTATTTTCAACCAAAGGTGAAAAGTTATTTTCTGAGAAAGGCCCTTCTCCAAGGGCTTGCCGGCTACCTTCTCGCCTTGCTTGGTGTTCGATAGACTGGAATCAGTTGTCTCTGCTACACCCTCTGGGGTCTGGTGGCTTTGGTTCTGTGTACAAGGCTGTTTACTGTGGAACTACCGTGGCAGTAAAGCAGGTAAAGAAATGCAGTAAGAATCGCTTGGCATCTCGACAGAGTTTCTGGGCAGAACTAAATGTGGCACATCTTCACCATAACAACGTGGTGCATGTAATAGCTGCCAGCACATGTGCCCCTTCCAGCCAGGATACTTTGGGCACCATAATAATGGAATATGTAGGTAACAGCACCCTGCACCATGTTATCTATGGAACTGGCTGCACAACAGCAGAAAGAAAGGATGATGGACTTGGATGTGGCAATGCATTTTTGAATCTAGCTCAGGCTGTATGCTACTCCTGTGACATTGTAGCAGGTTTAGTCTTTCTCCATTCACAGTTGATTGTGCACTTGGATTTAAAGCCTGCTAACATATTCATCACAGAACAAAATGTTTGTAAGATCGGAGACTTTGGATGCTCCCAAAAGCTAGAAGATACTGTGTTATCAGGCCCTCAGCTTTGTCAGCAAGGGGGAACATACACTCACCGTGCTCCCGAACTTCTTAAAGGTGAGAAAATTACACCTAAGGCAGACATCTACTCATTTGCCATCACGCTTTGGCAAATGGTTACACAAAAAGAGCCTTATTTGGGTGACCATCAGTATGTACTCTATTCTGTGGTAGCTTACAACTTGCGTCCTTCTCTGTCTGATGATGTGTTTAAAGACTCAACCATTGGACAACAGCTTGAGACCACAATTGAAAGTTGCTGGAGAGCTGATGTAGCAGAGCGTCCTAATGCGGAACTTCTCCTCCATGATCTTCATTCTCTATCTCTAAAAGCATAAAAAGTTGTTGTGTTGTGTCTCTTGATTTTTATTGTTGTTCCTCTTCCTTGCTAAATTTGTTAAGTTATTGCTCTGATCTTTTTCAATATGCAAAAGAAGCTTCTGAAAAAAGTTGCTGGTTATTAATTTATCAATAAAGTTATTGCAGAATCTTAGTACCTGTAGCAGGTTAGAAAGTCTTCTGCTCAGTAGAGCAACAGAAGCTTTCAGTTTCTTATGCTGTTTTTTTTTTTCATGGAATCCATATAGATAGAGAGCACAGTCACATACTGAAAATGCACAATACCTGAGATCTGGGCAACAAGCTTTGACAAAGTTAAGTAATGAAAACCACCTATTCAGTAATAATGTAAAGGATTGGGTTCCTTTCCTATCTTTAAAGTGCCTTAAACAAAAATACTTTTCTCTCTTTATGGATAGAATTTGGAACTGTTATTTTTACAACTCCTAGAATCCATACTGGCCATACTGACCAGGGGAATTCTAAGAGTTTTAGTTCAGTATTCCAAGCCTTGTTTGTCAGTGAACTCAGCTAGAAATAACAAAGCTATCTGATTTCTACACCTTTTCTAGTTATCTGCTGAACAAGAGTCACCAGACACCACATTTTTAAAGAAATTGGTAAATGCAGCATTTATTCATGTGTGTCTTAGTATAAGTGTGTCAGTCTGTGGCAGCGAAACAGCCTTGAGGTATCTTAAACACGTAATTTGTATGCGTCATAAACTTTTCTGGATTGTAGCCCATCTGCATGTTAAGAAGTGGGTTGTAGTCCATGAAAGTTACACCAAATAAATTTGCTAGTCGTTAAGTTGCTACATGACTTCTTACTGGAGGTTGCTTGTTTGCTTGTAGTTGTGCATCAACACGTGGTCATCTGCAAACTAGTTTAACATTCTCTCCAGCTCAGATACTGTATCCCATCCTGCTGTCTAATGCCACACACAGGACCTAGGACTTGTTTAGATATTAGCTGTTTAAGGCCTGACTAAATACAGACCAAATGTTGACCAACAAATACTGTTTTACAGCAGTCATTTTGAGGGCATAAATGTGAGTGTTGTTAAGGCTAACTACCTGGGCTAATGAAAAATCAAATGCGTTCCCACATATATTCTGGTTCTTCGGGAGTTTTGCAGATTTTGAATATGAGATATTTTATTTGCAAAACTTAAGGATGTAATTCTAAACATACTTTTAAGGGAGCATATCTAACTGAACATTGTGGGACAATCTTCAGTGGAAGCATGAAGACAGGAATATTGTAATTTTGTAAAAACAATAAAAAAAATTAAAAAAGAGCTAAATCCCATTGAATCTGTTAGAGCCAATAACTTAGTAACATGCATAGAATTAGGTTGTATACTGTCATTATGCTCCTACTGTTCCCAATATATTCTTTTCACATTACTGTATAAACAAAAATATTGGAGTTTTCAGTGCATATTTGAAAGTGTGTATTAATTCTGAGTTACTGGCATAATATACTTTGTTCTTTCTGCAACTTCTAATTAGAAATGTTCAGCTTATAAATTACAATTGGACAAAGCTGAGCTGACGTAACCTATTTAACATAACTTTTCCCAGCCAGAGTTTGCATTAACATTGTCTCTAATGTAAATAATTTTATCAACTAAGAATATGCAAAACATTAGCGCCTAAAGCTGATAATGCAGAAAGTTTTTGATGTTCTATGTACTATATGATATTGCTTATAAGGAGTGAAACTAAAAACTAGAAGATGGTGGTAACTGTTTAGATGGAACTTAAGTTGTCTTTAAATCCTTGCTGGATTGGGATAACTCCTCAGGTGGTCTGGAAACAAGGGTAATGGTTAATTGGGTTTTCTTAAATGTTTTTAACCACTCAAGGGCTTAAGTAGAAACATGGAAGGGGGGATTAAAGGAGAAATGGATGAAAGTATTATAATATTTATTCCCTGCAGTGAGGGGAAGGGTATTCTTAATTCCTAAAACACACACATCTGTTAAGAATAGATTCTTTCCTAAACAAAGTTAGCATCCACTTGCAATGATAGGAGAGACAGTTCCTATCTACAATAGAAGAGTGGGAAATGTATTAATATAAACGGCAAGATCTATCTCCTAAGGAAAAGAAAGTAATGCTTCCAGATGTTCAAAAATAAGAATGTTGCAGAATTTTAAGACCAATGGATGTATTACAGCATAAGATTTTGATGCATTGTATAATCCTTCATGATCATAAATTAAGCCAAAAATTGTGGGATGGAACAATCTTAACATAACCAGGCAACGTTCAGAAATGTCCATGTAACATAAACACAGTGATGATTCACAACAGTAGGAATTCATGATACCAGAATTACCTATTTTGCTAAGCTATGTTTAAATTTAGCACTTTAAAACTACAAATTTCCATTGGTGTGAATCATTGTTGTGCTCATGATAAATTCTATTTATTTGGATCTTAAACAGGACTCCTTTCTCACCACCAATATCAGTCTGCAATGTGAGATAGAATTGGTCTTTCAAGAAACCTAAACTTCAACTAGTTTCATACTTAAACTCCAGTAATTTTAATTCAGTTAATCTGAGTCCTAAATTAAGACCTAATTGATTTTCTCAATTTTGCTAATTCACATGATCATTTGTAATTTGACAGTACAGAATACAGCCAACACATTGTTACAATAGGTCTGCTAGTTTTTCATTTAAAATGACTTTTGACACTTTAGAGTAACAAGGCTTCTACTTGCAGAAATTCCCAAGAATTTATAATAAATTCTCCAGAAAAGGCTATTTTTCAAAACATTTTGAGGCAATTACCTATTAGATATGGTGTAATTGCAATCATATATCACTAGATGGCCAATATTAATATATTAATGATGCTATAGTGTGCATGAAAGAAATTCAGGTATTTATTCTCTTTACCTATGAATCTGCAAAGTGATTTACTTAACCGAAGTTATAACAGTATAATCCTGGAGATTCACTCTGAAGCAGTCCAAGTTCAATATGATTTTTAAGGAAAGGCAAATATAATTGGAGACCAGAGACTTGCTATGTGAAAATAATTTTATTAGTGAAGATTAGTTTTAAACAGTTGACCTGTGATTTAAATGTTCATGTTTCTTTATAAAACTATGTTCATTTTGGTGCAGGGAATGAAAATAGTATTAAATATGTCCTGTCTTTTTGTCATGTAGGGCAATTTTAAACATTAAATAGCCCTTGCTTCAGCTTAGTTCCCGTGTGACTTTGCCTCGTTGTATGCAAACCATGCACAACCTAAAATTGAACCAAAGAACAAATTATTGACAACTTAATTGCTGCTTCTGTTTGTGACATCATTCCTGTTGTGTTGGTGTCCTTATACAACAGGATACTCTGGGAGTTGTTTTTTAAAAATTAAATATTTTGTATTGCATGTAGAATCTCTGTAGAAATACTGTGTTTCCCTAAAGATAAGAATGTCTTATATTTAAATGCATTAGGGCTTATTTTCAGGAGAGGTTTTATTTTTTCATGTGCAACAATCTACATTTATTCAAATACAGTCATGGAATTCTGGAACATCATCATAACTCCAAACACCGAATTTGGGCCTGAATTTCTTGTGACTCCCTCCAGGGACAGGGGAGTGGTCGCTGTGGTGATGCTGGCATGATGGGCCCCAACACGCACTGGCCTCAAACCCCTTCAGCCGCAGAACCAGATGATTTCTGTCTCGTTTTGGGAACACGCTTGTTGAGGTGGTGGTGGGAAGGTGACATATGGATTGAGGCAGAGGAGATGGAGTCAATCTCAGTTGCTGTACAATGAGTCCCTGGTGGAGGGCAGGGTTTAATTTAACTAGGGCTTATTTTAGAGGTAGGGCTCATGAGCATCCTGAAAATTTTTACTAGGGTTTATTTTCAGGTTAGGTCTTATTTTAGGGGAAACTGTATATGTTGATAACAACTTTTAACACGATTATTATTGTGTTAAAATTGAGCATTTCAACACGAGGCAATTGGAGAGGAAATTGGGCAACGGCCTGTCATATCTGCTTTGAGTTGGATTCCTGCATTGAGCAGGGGGTTGGACTGGATGGCCTTACAGGGCCCTTTCAACTCGACTGAAAATTAAGTGTCCGGGTATTAAAGAGAAATCCCTGGTCTGACACTTTCAACTCAATTGTTCTACTTAAAATTAAGTATCCGGGTATTAAAGAGAAATCCCTGGTCTGAAATCCGGCTCAATAGGCTATCAAAGTTTTGAACAGCAAAGGCTGTAGTGGGGAAAAACGTAGATGCAGGACGGAGAATGGATTTCCGCCTGTGCGTTGGGGCTCATTTTAGGTTAAGATCGGAAAAGGCAGGACGTGTATAACGTTGCATCCGAAGCAATCGTGGTCTCGCTGTCTTAGATCGACGAGAAAGCCGAGCGGGAGGTGGCTGCGAAACGTGTCCCCACCCCGACCCCGATTTCCCGGAGAAAAGCCCAGCGTGCCACTCCGGTGGTAGTGGGGGGGGGGGGGCGCCGCCTGGAAGCCCCGCTCCGCCCGGCGCCTGAACACTCGCTTCCCGCCTTCCTGCGTTTGACTCCAAGCGCCCGGACCGCGAACTTCCCGGTTTCCTCCATCAGTTCCGGAGCGAAGGGGGAAGAGGCGGCCCTCCGGGAGCTTATATAGCTCCGGCCTCGCCGCCCTGCCCTTCCTCTCGCTCTCTCTTCGTCGCGCAGGGCGTCTCGGGCCTACCTCGTCGTTTCCTGACTCACCGCTGTTCCGGGGGGCCTTTGCGCGCTCGCTTCGGCCAGGAATAAGTCGGTCAGGAAAGCTTTCCCGGCGGCGGCGGCGGCGGCCATGGTGAGAGGCACAAAAGAGCCCGGCTGGGAGGGAGGAGGTCGGGGAAGGAAGGGGTCCCGCCGGTGCTTTTTTCTGGGTGCCCCAAACCTTGCCCTTTAGCCGCCACCTCGCCTCGCCTTCCCTCCCGCGCCTCCAGCTCCCCGGGGCTGCGCCTGGCGAGGTCCTTTGGGGCGCCGCGGTTGCCTCCTCGTCGGGAATATCCCCTCCTGTTTTCCAGTCTAAAATGGAATCTGGAAAGTGTTCGCCTCAGACTGGGATCAAGAAGGAGCAGGCGGGGCCTTTCTGTTTTTCTCTGCTAAGCAGCCTTCACGAAGAAGGGGACACGCGGGACGGCCATGTTTAATCTCCCTTTTTGGGGCTGTTGCTTCTTGGTCCAGTGCATTTCGTGGTGTAGCTTTTCTACCTTGTAGTGTTGTACCTGCATTAAAGCGATTAAACGCTGTGTTCTCTGGCTGTTTAATTGTGCATAGGACGGAACAGAGAAAGGAAGCAAAGTGTCGTGTGCGGCAGATGCCGAACATTTTGGCATCAAGTCATTTTTTATTAGCAAACCGACTTTGCCACGATTGTCAGGACCCCTGTTAATGAGGAAGGAATTTTGTAATCTGAAGTCAACATAGAAGTGCAATACAAAATATTTTAAAATTTATTGTAACCGGATCCAGAAATTTTAAGCTGGTAATAAATACTTTTCTATATGTAACTACAACAGTATTCTTCTTTAGATGGGGGAGTCAGCAATGCAGCCCAAAAGTTAGGCTATGCTTCCTCAGACTGGCTTGGATCCTTGTCTGGGATGAGCAAATCTGTGAATTCATTTGTAAACTTGCTTTGTCCCTCCGCTGAACTCACAAATGCTGTTCTAAAAAAAATTCTGTATGATCTGTTTTTCAACCACAGTGCAGCTAAGCTCAGTATTGTGTGATTAAATGGGAAGATCTTGATCTTGCCATTAATTTGAAATTTCACAGTTATGTTTGCTACAGCTGAACTGCAAAAGCAAGGGATACTACAAATATATAGAGAGTCCTGTTCTTGGAAGAAAAGCAGGATGAAAATCAAATCTGTCAAAAGAGATCTCATCTAAAAAATAGCTTTCTTGTCATTCCTGCGGTGAAACACTTTTAGGGATAAGTTTGTTCTATGGCTTTTTAACTGCTGCTCCTTTTTGCCCTGTTGCAAAGGTGGAGGCATGTGAGAATTAAATATAAAAGATTCAGCACTTGTTGAACATGGTAGGATTGAATTCCTAAAAATGCCAAGTCTTTGTAAATGGGTCCTCTCTGGAGGAAAAGGCAGCATATATATGTCCTTAATAGATGGGTGTTATTTTGTAAGAGACAAATGACAAATCTGCCATAAAGCAGTATAAAATCATTCCTTTAAAACTTTTTAAAAGCTTTGGCTAAAATTTTATTGCTTGTTTTAGTAAATTACACCAGAGTACACCCATTAAATACTCTAAGCAACAGGATCTGGGCCTATGTTCCAGGATTCTGCTGGCTATTCTGGGTTACAAACTCAAATTTTTATCTCCTATTTGTTGCAGGCATTTAAAGATACTGGGAAAGCACCTGTAGAACAGGAAGTTGCCATTCATCGAATCCGAATTACCTTGACAAGCCGTAATGTGAAGTCTCTAGAAAAGGGTAAGTAGCAAATTAGTCTAGGAATTCTAAATGATTGGCAGAAATTTGGTATCCATCTAAGATGTACCCTTACAGCTCAGTCCTGTGTAGCTTAAGGTACAAATGAGCCTAATCTTACATCATATTGAGCTGTTAATGTTAATCATTTTAAAACCAGATGTGATCTGATTTATAACATGTCAATGTCATGTTAAGTTCAGTAGAATTCATTTCTGAGCTCACAAAGTGAAAGATGTTCTAGAGTTTCTTGCCTGCATTTTTGAAGTAGAGATACCAGTATCTAAGTTGAGACTGTCAATTTCTCTTTCAGGTCTTGTGTGCTTTTGAGAGAAAAAAGAACACTGATTAGGCTTAATTTTTATATACTTGGATAAAATGTTATTTTCAGAATGCATTTTGTGTAGTTCACATGTAAGACCCCACAAAAATATAGACAAATTCAGAAAAGGAATTGGCCGTAAAATTATTTCCTTTCATGCCTTAAGTAGAACCTTTCATTTTTCATACTGACAACTCTACATTAAATAATTTTACTCAAATATAGTTGGCAGTGAGGACATAAAGTGTTAACTGAACTACTGTGATTCATTTATACGCTATTCTGAGCCAACTTGTCTTTAATTTAATTTAATTTTTTAGAATGGTGAGTATATAGCTTTTAAACAATCATTGTTTTATTTTCATAGTCTGTGCAGATCTGATCAGAGGCGCTAAGGAAAAAAATCTGAAAGTGAAAGGACCTGTCCGCATGCCTACCAAGGTATTGTGTGTGATACAATGCTGCATGCTCTCAATGATATCGATCTTTAAGATAATATTTTGTCCTTATTGGCCTCTTCCCCCCTCCATCTCTCTCATTCTCTCTCTCTCACTCTCTGTCTCTCTCAAGCCTTCTACTTAATTGTCAGCTATTTGTATTTATTTAAATTTCAGACTTTGCGCATCACTACAAGGAAAACACCCTGTGGAGAAGGTTCCAAAACATGGGATCGTTTCCAGATGCGTATTCACAAGCGTCTCATCGATTTACATAGTCCTTCGGAGATTGTCAAGCAAATTACTTCTATCAGCATTGAACCTGGTGTAGAAGTTGAAGTTACTATCGCTGATGCTTAAATGAGTGTCATGTACATCAATAAAAGTTGAAAACTTTCTACCTATGTTTCCTGTAGTGCCCTGGTGTAAATTATATATATAAAAATCATACACTATTTTTTTACAGTTTCAGGAAGAAGTTTAGGAAAGGGAACTAACTAGAAAATTCATACAATTGTGTACTTAAATTGTAAATATTGTGTAGCTTTTTATGGATAAAACAAATATGTGTAGAATAGATTCAACTTGATCTCTGAAAATGAGATAGGAGATATCGATGTTTAATATTCCCAATACCGATGCAGTAGGATGAATGATGTGTTGCTTTGCACACTCAAAACTTAAATTCCAGATTCCAGTCTCCAAATGGTAATGTGTGCACAAGTCTACATGAGTTGTGAGGAGCAAGTAGAAATGGGTCTACTAAACAGTGTAGATCTTGAAATATCTTTTCCTGGTCTTTGCAAATTCTGTCCAGATGCAAATAGTCAAGGCATAGCTCACACACTGCTTTGATGAATGCTACTTCCCTAGTTGCAAACGATTTGAGTTACGAACTGCTCCATTCCGCAAGAAGTCACTTCGACCTGCAAACGGAGCCTCTGCTTGAGAACTGAGAAAAAAAAAATTCCTGCCCCTTTTTTGACTTAAGTTTGACTTAGGTCAAAAGAAGAGAAAAATAAAAAAATTCACACCCTAGTGGTAGAGTACAGATTAACCAGCTTTGCATTAGTTCCTATGGGAACTAATGCCTTGACCTACAAACAGCGCTCGACCTACAAACGGAAAACAGATACAGATTAAATGGTTTTCAATGCATTCTAATGGGAAAGTTTGACTTGACTTGTGAACTTTTCGACCTGCGAACTTAATTCCAATACGGATTAAGTTCGCAAGTCTTACCACTGTGTTTTGTCTCTTGAATGAAAATAAAAAGTGTATGAAAATTAGATTACTATGTTATATAAATCTTGCAACATTCTTATGTTGCAGTTTCAGCTTAATCTTAACAGTTAATTTAAAGCACTGGTCCTTAACCTTTGTTACTCAGATGTTTTTGGACTGCAACTCCCAGAAGCCTTCTCCATCAGCTCTGCTGGCTGAGGTTTCTGGGAGTTGCAGTTCAAAAACACCTGAGTAACAAAGGTTGAGAACCACTGATTTAAAGGATATGTAATTGATATTGGCAGTGGAGTTATTTACAGTAGATCTGTATACTTACTGGTTAGTCATAAGTAGAGATGAATACAAATACCCCCGCACAGGTAGAAATAACGAGGGTCCAGCCCCTTGGGACTGGCTGGTCCACTGCAGTCTCTGCAATCCTGTCCTATTATAGTCTGTGTGTAGTAGTAGTCTGGAATACCTCCATCTCTAGTCAGAAGTGATAAAACCATCACTAAGATTGACTCTTAAATGCATGCAATAAAGAATAATCCAGAATTGGGTTGAAAATCCAGTCTTCTGTCTTTACAGCCAGCTTGAGTAATGGTAGAACAGGGAGTTCAGTCTTGACATCTAAAGGATGTTCATAGCCTCCTACATGTTCCCAAACTCAAAAGTTGGCAAACAAGTATTCAGAGATTGACAATATTTTCACCTTCAGATTATTTATTTTTCTGTCACTTTGCTGGTGTCAGTGGTTTGTACAAATCATTTTGTACTAGAGAAGAGTAATGTGTGATTCTTTAGCTATTGGACTCCAGCTCGTATCAGACCTGGCCAGCAGTGAGCCAACAGTGTGAGATGGTAAGTATTTTAGCCCAGCATCCTTAGAACCACGTGTTAAAATAATCTTAGAACTGCAGAGCTGGAAGGACCCCATGGATCATCAAGTCCAGCTCAATACATACTCTATGTGATTCTCAGTGTGGTGTAATGGACAGAGTAATAGACTAGGACTCTGGAGAACAGGGTTTGAGACCCTGCTTGGCCATAGGAACTGACTGGGGATGTGGAACTGGTAAAAACCACTTCTTGAATATTTCATTTACATTGAAAGCCTGATATAAATTAGTACTGACTTGACACAGAACACATTCTGTATACAGTGAACTAGTTGCTTTGTATGATGCTGCAGCGTGATGAAATGAAAAGGATAAGGCTCTAACATGGTCAACTTCCAAGAAATTCTGGTAATAGGATGGTCAGAATTACTTCATGAAAGTCTGGCTTTGCTGTATTGAATTTTACTGCTTTGAATCCTGTGTGATTTGTCCATGGTGACACATGCCCTAGTTACATCTCAGCTGGATTACTGTAACATGCTTTACATTGGAATACCTCTGGAAAGTGTTTAGAAACTAAAGAGGGTCCAAAATGCTGCTGCTAGATTGTTAACTAGGGGTCATTACAGGGAGCATATAACTCCCTTGTTAAAGATTGTTAACTAGGGGTGATTACAGGGAGCATATAACTCCCTTGTTAAAGTAGCTCCACTGGCTACCAGTCTGATTCCAGGCACAATTTAAAGTGCTGGTTTTAACCTATAAAGCTCTAAATAGCTTTGATCCAAGCTATATAAAAGACTGTATGTCCCTCTATGAGCCTGCTTGGGCTTTAAGATCATCGGGGGTAGCTGATGTGCTTGGTGGGGACATGGAAGAGTGGGGGTGGCTGATGTGCTTGGTGGGGACATGGAAGAGGGCCTTTTCTTGCTGCTCCCTTTTGCAAGCAGGTAAAGACCTTTCTCTTTAGACAGTTTTTTTCCTCAGTGACCAGTAGTCTGAGGGGTTTTGTGCTCTGTTGCTCTTAAACGTGTTTTTAGTATTCAATTTATTTACCATTTTTAATATAGTACTTGTTTAATTCTTTTAAAATATCTGTATATTGTCCTTTTAATGATGTGAGCCACCTTGGGTCATTTTGAGGAGACAGGTGGGGTAAAAATACTGTACTGTATTTTAAATAATAGTAGTAGAACAGAAATTATTCTAATAGCTGGACTTGCATTTTCAAACTTGAAGGATATTTTTTAACCTTTCCCGTGTGAGAGCCACTTTATTAAATAAAACTGTACAAATGAACCTCTATTCTACTACTGTTATATATGAGGCCCCTTTGAAAGCAGCAGAGCAGTTATTTCAACTATTGTAAGTCATTTGGTAAGTAACTGGGAGAGTCTGAAGTATAACCAGCGTCTAGAATATTAAATGAATGTCTGCAGTTGTGTCCAACTTCCTTAGTGTTTATATATTCCATGATTTGCACCTGCACATCAGTTCGTTTAGTTTTGTATACCATGTGGCTTGATAAAAGAATTGAAAGTTTGCACTGTATTTTACAATCTTTTGAGATGGAGCAGTATTACTCCAATACAAGTTTTGGAACGCTTGAAAATGGTTGCTTTTGTTTTCGCCCTCTAGTGGGTAACAACTGTTCACGGAGTTTTAAATGTCTACAGCAATTCTCAAGTCTCCCAATAAATAGCCTTGTAAACAACTGGCTTATCTAGATATGATGTTTTCATGAGGCCTTACGCATGATTAAAAGCACCTTTGAGGCTGGCTTGTGCAGTTTTATTTGATGAAGAGAAGAGGAGCTTAGCCTATTAAGGCAACTAAGCTGTTTCAAAAATACTCATTTGAGACTACATAATTTTCAGTTGCAGTAGCCCACTGAATACTGTGCAGGCTTTGGGGGTTACGCTGTGATTAGTCTCCTACACAAGAAACTACTATGTGTATAAAGTGGTATTTTGCTATCCTAAAACAGCTAGCATTGTAACATGAATGACCTTTCCAGTCACAGGGGAAACTACATGGCTTTCTCACATACTGACTGCCATAAGACAATCCATCTAGCTGGAAAAACAGTTTGCTAGCATTACTCTGACAATCCCACTTTCTCATAAAATATTTCAGTCCTAAACCCTGATGGGCATCCTGACTGCAAATTGCGACTCGGGAGTTGCTCGTGGTTTGCTGAAAGCATATCAATGCCAGGGAGAATAGGGCTTGTTGTTTAGTCGTTAAGTCGTGCCCGACTCTTCATGACCTCATGGACCAGAGCACGCCAGGCCCTCCTGTCTTCCACTGCCTCCCGGAGTCAAATTCATGTTGGTAGCTTCAGTGACACTATCCAACCATTTCGTCCTCTGTCGTCCCCTTCTCCTCCTGCCTTCACTCTTTCCCAACATCAGGGTCTTTTCCAGGGAGTCTTCTTTTCTCATCAGATGGCCAAAGTATTGGAGCCTCAGCTTCAGGATCTGTCCTTCTAGTGAGCACTCAGGGTTGATTTCCTTCAGAATGGATAGGATTGTTCTCCTTACAGTCCAGGGGACTCTCAAGAGTCTCCTCCAGCACCACAATTCAAAAGCATCAATTCTTCGGCGGGCAGCCTTCTTTATTTATTTTATTCTTTTTTTTAATTTCTATAATTTATTTTACAGGGCACTGGCTACCAATAGTGAACATTCAGTAATCACTATGGATCAAACACCACTACTGCTATTATCCTAGATTGGCTGAGTACTAAGAGGAGACAGTTAACTGATGTTTTGGTTAATTGAGCACAGCACCCTACATGCCATTTTCAAAGGTACTGCTATGGAGCTAATCATTCACATTCTCTTGAACAGACTCTGATATTTGAGTTTCAATCCAAACTAACTAGTATGCACCTTCAAAGGGCAGTGAAGTACTTCGAGATATTCTTGATTTTGCTTTTTTAACTGTAGTAATGTGTGAACAAATGCAAAAAAAAGTTTAAGTCCCCAGAAAACAATATAGCTGTTTGCAATTCTTCTGTTTTAAGAAGCCATTGCCACCTAGAGGTGTTTGACATGAGGCCAAATAGTATTCCAGAGTTGCATCTGAAATTCAGATGAGTTACTATTTTTTTAAAGCATGATAGACATTAATGTTATTTAACATAAGTTTTCATGAGTGGAATTCCACTTTTTAATTCATAGGTTAGTGGCAGGTGACAGGTCTAAGCAGATTAGCACAGGGTCAGAAAAAGTTTCATTTAAATCCAATACAATAGAAGATACAGCCTCTGTTTTGATGGTATATACATATGCACATGGATTCTAGTATATAGGAATTGGGTAGGATAGAGTAGGAGTAATCCACAGCAGTCAACAGCCTTTAATGGTTGCTGATTGATCAATAGCAACATGCCAGACTACTTGCATTTCCATTACATTTATCTTTTGCTCTCTGTTTCTGTACTGAAGCTACAGTTCATGCATCTGAAGAAGTGGGTCGTAGTCTGTGAAGCTAATACTAAATAAAACTTGTTATTCTTAAATGCACTGCAGGACTCTTATGTTGTTTTTCTTGCAACAGACTAATATGGCTCCCTCCTTGAACTGCTCAACTAGAAATGAGTAGTACCATCAGAACATCATCTTCCCACTTGAGCAACTGAAGAGAGATTCAGAATGAGCAGCATTATGCAATTGTGTCTCTAATTTTCATGTAAGAGCAGAAACCCCTTCCAAAACAGGTTTGATGTAAGCTATGTGGAGGTATAACTCTCCCAACTGCTCTCCTTCTAAGTAATCTAGAGGGCGGGATTAAAGACTGGGTGATGGTTATTAGAACGGATTCACCTGGCTCTTTTGAGGGAGGAGCCTATGAGTGTTTGCTAGACCACCTGTAGAAGGTACTTACCTTTGTTTATAGAGAGAATATAGAAAATCATTCTTTAGTGTTTTTAGGGCGCTGATTGCAGTTCTGTGTGAAGAAATGCTGGGCGAAAGAAAATAATGTGTGGATAGAAAAATGGTATGATAGTAGAGACTAAAAATAAGGGAAAAGCAGAATGTATGTGTAGAAAAGAAGGAGGGAAAGAATAATAGCTCAGTCCAATGTGTGTTTATTTAGAAGTAAGTTTGTTTTCGGCGGTGCTTCCTCGCATGTGTGCATGAGATTGCAGGCCAGTTGAGCTGACTCTGTGTATTGATAACTGAAACACTGAAATCTCACTCTGTAAATGATTAGGATGTAAGCAAGCCTTTCAATCTGACTATCAATAGAGAACAAGAAATATGCAGGGGGAAAATGTATATATTTCAAATATGTGACTGTGTAAATTCTATAGTAATTTGAGCCAAGTGACGGGTATATAGAAATTGTTATTCCATTTTAATACTGTGTTATTTGAATTGTTCAGTGTAAAATTGAAATATGACGGCCATGGAAAGACAGTTTGTTCAGGGTCAGAGCAAATAGTTAACTCTGCTTTACTTTTTATTTTTGGAATGAGGAAAGAGGGTTGCTAGATGATGGGTTAACATGCACAGCCACTCTTCTAGATGCTAAGGAGCAATTGTCTCTGAGTTCATATCCAATTTCTGACACCATGTGCTCATTTTGTAGGTTTGGGTGAGTCGCCTGTGTCTCTGCTACTTGCGCACATCTAAAATCAGTAGATACTAGTTAAAAATCAAAAGCTGTGATAGTTGTCTCAAGTAAATTGTGAAATTATGTTGCACACAGAGCAGGCTAATAGGATTAAATGGACATTAAACTTTGTTGGGCTTCATTGAGTCATAACTAATTTGTCCTCATTTCAGTCAGGCCCAACTGCAAGGAACTCAATCTGGATCCTTTGACAAAAATAGAAGGCATTCCATTCCCTCATCCCACCCGCAAATTGGTCTCTTGTTCTGCTTGGGGAATGTACATCTTTGCTATTTCTCTCACACATCTTATAGGATGGAAGGATGAATTGCCAGGAGAGACATGGAATGAGTACGATGGATTCAGTGTCTCCTGAGGATTTACCTACGCAGACAGAACTGCCAGATGTATCCAGTGTGGGAGAACAGCAGGAAACTGAGGTTTGCTGTTTAGCATGCTTTTTTTTAGTGTTTTGAGTGTAACATACACTTGATGTAAAAACTATATTCCCATATCAAAATATCTTTTAAAAAGAGTAAAAAGTTGCATCACACTAATTTTAACATCTGCAAGGGGATGCTTTAGCTGGGATTTCCTGCATTTGGGGGATGAGGGTGGACTTAAGATCCCTCAGGGTTTCTTCCAATTCTACAGATGATTATGATTCTAATTAAAGTGACAGTCTTATGGAAAATTTTCTGGGGAGGGGACGCCAGTGAGTACAATGGGACTGAGTGAACAGGGCATGATTTTGCCTTAAATATCCCAATGCTTGTAATTTACACTCCCATGTTGCTTGACTCTGGTATCTGCTTTCAAAAATGGGATTCAGAAATACAGCCTGATTGAAGTTGTCTGTCCTTTAAGAGAAGTTTTAAGAGAAAATGGAGTAACATTATTTTTAAGCACCGGAGGACACTTGTAGAAAACATGAGGAGAAGTGACAGGATCTTAAAAGAATGGGCATACTGCATGATGAAATAAGAAATTAGCTGGTACTAATGCAATTATGCTTTCTTTTTAACACTATTTTTAAGGGACAGTATCAGCCACTGAAAGTATACCTCAGAGTGCGTCCCTATTCAAAAGCCGAGCTTGAAAACAATGAAGACCAGGTTAGTTGTAGAATACTTGTGGGGGAATTGGGTTCAGAGCTGCAACTCTAAAAATGGAAATTCTTCTACCTACTTTATCTTTAACAAGTTCTTAGATGGTTTCTCACTGCATGCATCACATACAAGAAGGAAACAGCACTGTGATTTGCACATGCGATCTTCCACCACAAAAGATTTTGGAGATAAAGTAGGTGAATAAGCAAAAGAAATGAAAATAGCCAGATACAGAGGTAGGCAATCTAATGTCCTTGAAATATAGTAGTCTACAAATGCCGTAAATCCCCACAAACAGGGTCAGGGACAATAGGAACACCAGTTCAAAAGATATGGAGGGCATTGGGTTGCCTACCTCTGTCCTAAGGTTTTTAGACAGCAAAATTATATTCCTCAGTTTGAGGGCACATTAGGAAGCAGGTTCTGCAGAACACGTCCACAATATCCCACTTTCTGGGAGGCTGTGATCCTGCTCCCGTGATCCTTGCTCGGCAAGGCCGAGTCCATGGAACACATGTTTTTCTATTGCCCACATTATGCAGTAGCACAAAATCAGATTATCATACCATTAATTGGAAACATCTCTGGTCGATCTTGTTTGTTTTATGTCTATGTTTGATGCTTTTACGTATTGCAGAGATTGTGTGGCTTCGGGTTGTCCCCTTCTCTGTATGATAGGTCTAAGGACTATAAATAAAGAATTCATTGACTACGAGGTGGCTTGTAAGGAGATCATCACCCCACTAAAATAAAAAAAAAAAGACTTGAGTTTCTTGATATAGACTACAAAATCACTTATCAAATAGCCAGATTTTGTATGGCAATATTCAGATCTTGGAAATTCCATGGTAACTAGATACTAGATTTTGAATTGTGTTTTAAATGCCCAATTTTTTATGGAGTACCTGAAATTTTGAAATGTTATGGTAGCTAGATACTAGAGTTTAAATGGTTTTTTAAATGCCAAATGTTTTCACAAGGTATTTGGAATTTTGGAAACTGTAAATGTCTTATGTTTTTTTTCCCTGTGTGACTGATCTAAGGACCGTAACTATAAACTGTACTGACATAAATATGTCTGTAATTTGGAATCTAGTTAGGAAATAATGTTTTAGGAAACTTACTTTGAAAATGTATGGTTTTTAAAGGAGTGTTTAATCATTGAAAATCAAGAGACAGTAACTCTTCAGTCACCTAAAGAATCAGCCACTATGAGGCCCAATGAGAAGAGGATAGGCCAATCTGCTCATCAATTCACCTTCACTCAGGTTAGTTCCTTCCACTGAGTTCTTAAAAAAATAAGATATTTTTGTAATACCTGTGGAAAACAGACTAGCCAGTCTATCTCTATGAAAATTGTTCTATAAATATGATCTCATGTGATTTCTCAAATGTTCACTGTGGTTCTAGAAGACTATGGCAAATTTCCATGTTCCTATTAACTTTATTTAAACTTTTTATTCTTAGTAGTTTTATGTTGAAATACAGATGTCTGCGGATATATATGGTAGCATCCTTCCAATTCTTTTGATATGATCTTTAACCAAAAATGGGCTTAAAACTGAAACAATATATAGTTAAATGTTGTGTTACATGTTTTTATATCATTGATTTTATTGGTATAGAGTGTAGCAGCAGCAGCAGCAACAACAATTTGAAAACAAATTAAACAGCTGGAAAAATAAACCACTACATGGGAAACACCTGATAAATACTGATGGAAAGTAAGATCATAATTCAAGATGGGCATGGCTAAAACTGGAGACCCTTATGAAAAAAACCGAAGGCTTGATTTTTGCTGCACAAAAACATGCACTCTAAACCAATGCGATGAAAGCTAAGATCCAAGGAGTTAGTGCTAGCAGTAAATGTCAACTCTGCCAAGAAAAAGATATACAGTACTTGTCACACCACATCTGTGAATGTCCAAAGATTGCACAAAGAGATTACAAAGTTAGATATGATATAGTGGCAAAGTTAGTGCACTGGTCATTATGCAAATATATAGTTCCAGACCCAAACTGATCAACACCTTGAACATAACACATCAGACATAGTAGTGATAGAATGAAGAAATGTCCAGATCAATGACATTGCAATTCTAGGGGATGCCAGAGTTGAAAATATAGAATTGTAAAAACTAGCAAAGTACAGAGACCTGGCAATCGAAATATCTTGCTTGTGGATGACACATAGTTCAGTGGTCCTTGTAGTCATTGGGGCTTTGGGAACAATATCAAGAAATTTTACACAAGACTTACTATAAGCAGTTGCAGATCTCAGAAATCACACAATCAGAGCTGCAAAAAATAGCAATATTAGGAACAACATACATACTGTGTCGATATTTAACAGATGCTTATATTATTATTATTATTATTAAACTTTCCCCATACTATAGTATGCCCCTTAGAATGGGAACCAAAACAGCTATCATTCCACTTCATGGACCAAACATTAACTTGATAGGAGGGGTAATGGTTGAGGTAGAAGGAACGTTAATCCTTTTCTAGTCTGATTGTGCTATGCATGTGATATCATAACATTTCTAGAAGAAGTGGGAATTCCATTAATGGATCTTCTAGTTATTTCTCCCTGTCAAACATATGCAGGTTTTTGGACCAGACACTACTCAAAGTGAATTTTTTGAAGGCACAATGAAAGAGATAGTAAAAGCTTATATTGATGGAATGAATGGGCTTGTATTTGCCTATGGTGTTACTAATGCTGGCAAAAGTTTCACCATTCAAGGTATATCATCCTCCTGTCCCTTTTTACTGGGGGAAAATACAAAATTCAATTTATAATGGCATATACCACACTGAAATTTACTATTTCTACAGGTTGTCCAAAAGATGGTGGGATCCTTCCTCGTTCTCTTGATATGATCTTTAACCATATCAGAGGAAGGCAGTATACAAAAATGGACTTAAAACCATGCTTTGGTAATCAGATCAAAAGGCTAAATGATATGCAGGTGAAGCAAGAAGAATCCATGAAGGCTGCACTTTTTGCTTCTTTGAAAGAGGTTGGTGTCAACCATTCTTCTATGCTCTATATTCTTCCATCCTTCTACATTCTTCTATATTATTAGCTGCACAAAAAGAACTAGCAAGCAGAGGCAGTGTTAATCAAAACAGGACACACAACAATGGGCTCAAGTTACAGGAAGCCAGATTTCAATTGAGTATCAGGAAAAACTTGCTAACTGTTAGAGCGGTAAGACATCTGGCAGATATCCTTTGAATTGTATTCCTGCAACGAGCATGGGATTGGACTTGATGGTCTTACAGGCCCCTTCCAACTTTTCTATTCTATAATTCTTCGAAAACCACATTTGTTCCCATCTAAGCTAGTGAAGCCAAATACTGTACAACATTTCATAGTTATAGCAAATAAGCGAATTATAACAGTAAAGCAGATGGTCATTCCACTAACATGTCAGAGCTGTATTCCTGCAACAAGCATGGGATTGGACTTGATGGTCTTACAGGCCCCTTCCAACTTTTCTATTCTATAATTCTTCGAAAACCACATTTGTTCCCATCTAAGCTAGTGAAGCCAAATACTGTACAACATTTCATAGTTATAGCAAATAAGCGAATTATAACAGTAAAGCAGATGGTCATTCCACTAACATGTCAGAGGCTGAAATCCTGTTCTGTAAATTATGTTGCATATGTCTCATTATGCCATCAGCTGTGGTAATTTTTCAGAAATGAAACATTTCTGATCCTTCAAAGATCCCAGGGCTCCTGTGGGATCCTCTTTACCATGTGGAAGGTGTTTGAGAAAGCGGGATTGGGGGGGATCTTTTATTCCCCAAAAGCCACATCAGGAAATTAAAGACTTTGCAGATTCTTTCTAAAGCAGTTTTAAATACAGCTCAGGTGAAGGTTCCCCTTGACAGTCGTGTTCAACTCTAGGGCGCGGTGCTCATCCCCATCTCCAAACTGTAGAGCCAGCGTTTGTTCATAGACAGTTTCCAGGGCGACTAGACACGGAACGCTGTTACCTTCCCACTGTGGTGGTACCTCTTTATCTACTCACATTTACATGCTTTCAAACGACTAGGTTGGCAGGAGCCGCTAGGTTGGGACAAGTGACGGGAGTTCACTCCGTCGTGTGGATTCGATCTTACAAGTGCTGGTCTTCAGACCTTGCAGCACAGAGGCTTCTGCGGTTTAACCCACAGTGCCACCATGTCCTCTAAATACAGCTTAGAAATCTGCTTTTTGAAGAAAATGCTTCCTGGAGCCTATAAATTGCCTCTGTGGGTCATTATCCCATCATAGCATGAGTCTCAAATTCTTTTGGTTGAAGTGAGAAGCAGATTTTCATAATTAGATCAGAGATGGGCACGTTGATGGGGAAATTGTTGATATATTCCATTAATCATCAATAGCTAAACATCTGTTTTTATGAAATTCATGTTAGAACATCTGTTTTAATGAATTGTGCAAATTTTAAATTTCCATATAAATTTAGGCCACATTTCTACACCAAAATCCTTTTATTTGTTACATTTAGTAGCCATTTGTTTTTAATTGGAATTTGGAATGTTATTTACTCCCTGCTATGTATTTATTATTTGCACTCTATGAGCTCAAAGTAGTGTCCATGTCCCGCCTCCCCCCCCATAATGTACTGTGACTAATAAGAACTGTAAGGTGATTTAAATGGATATTATTTATATCTGTCTAGGAAACAGAAAATACTTGGAAGCCTACCACAATTTCAGGCATACCAGAGTCTACTTCTCCTAGCTGCAACTCAACAAGTCTTGCTTTGGACCATTTAGGTAAATTGTGAATACTCATAATTTAGAGAGAGAAAGAGAGAGAGAGAGAGAGAGAGAGAGTTGTTCAAATAGTGTAAAATTCTATGTTTTCTTGAAAACCCTAAGCAAGGGATCATGAAATATCTACTTAATATATAGCCATGAACAGAACAGAACTGCTGAGTGCCTCATATATCTGAAGTTCAAGGTAGTTAGAATTTGGAGACTGAGTCCCAGAATTCCTCAGCCAGCATATCTAAAAATAGTTCTGCTTTTTAAAAAAATTGTGTTCTAATTATTCTCTTTTCCATTCCTTGAACTCTGGTTAACAAACCCAAACTCTGGACTTGTAGATTCTGAAGCTTTTGACAACTGTCAGAGAACTCTGGCGTCTCTATGGGTTTCATTCTTTGAAATCTACAATGAATACGTTTATGACCTACTGGATTTACTACCAACATTGAAAAATCAGAAACGGAAAGTTTTAAGAATCTGTGAAGATCAAGGAGGAAACTCTTATGTCAAAGGTATTACTTCACATATAATTGACTTTTGGGCCTTCTGAACAACTTCCAGGCTTGTGTCAGTACGTCACCTGGTTGAATATTCATTTTGAACACTGGCTAGCTTCAGATATACAAGGCAGGTCTTGACAGTAGAGGGAGCTCCAGTTCTATTCTCATTGTAACTCCAGTGGACACAGTTAACAGAAGGTCATTCTGTTTAACAAGGTGTATTAAATTTTAATTATTAAACTTTTATTAAAGGCTTTCACTATCTTCAAAATACTGGGAAACTGCAGCTGTTAGATAGGTGGCCCTCTAATTAGTGGTAGACCAGACGATTGTTTTGAGTGCCTTACTTCAAATATGCTTAGCTATTTGTTATCTAAGCCTGTGTTTCCTAAGCTTTAGACTTTTTCTCATATTGTCATTTTTTTATCCTTTGAGATACATTTGGAACAGTTCATAGCAAATGAACTGCATGCTCACAAATATGATAGCAAACCTCTCATATTGTTCTGCCACCAATTTCTAATAACCTATTTCTTTGTTGATCACTAGTCATGTATTGAAGCCCCTCAATCTGATCTATGCTCAAACATTCCTGTAAAAGGGAAGACACAAATAGCTGTGACCCAGAATTGGGCTACACATCAATTCTGGAAATATGGCGGTGCTACACTCTCTCGGTTGTGATATCCAGTCACCTACAAAGGATACTGCGTGTGTACAGCAAGACTTATTTCCTTTATGACATAAAGGCCAGAAGCCAGTGGTATTTGCACCCGTGCAACAACAAGGAAAAAAGAGGAAGAGAAAATGGCTAGAAAGGAGACCATTTCCTAATGCCGTAACTGTTGTGAACGCCCATACTGTAACCTAGTCACTCAAAACCCATACAACAAGCATCCTTCCACATTCACACACATACTATTCTAACAGTGCAAACTGTAATGAATAAACGCTCTTCTTCATAGTCTTTGTGAATCACACATACAGGTTCATATTGTGCCTGTGTAAATGTCCTCAGAACCTTCTAGAGCCTAAAGAAAGTATGAGAACACGCCCTCTCCACCATGCTCCTCACCCTGCATCTAATTTTCAGTTTCCTTTTTGCCATTGCTGCCAGAACACCTTAGGAGTTTTTCTAGTTCTTTAATGCATTCTTCTCAAATCCTCATCAGTTTGTATATAGTTATAACTTACCTTGTCCTTCAACGCCTTTTCTCCTCCCCTCTCTCCCAATCTCTTCCTCCTAAAAAAAAGTTATAATTGTTATTAGTTATAGAAGAGGGATTTTAAATGGATTGTTGTGCTCTGTTACATTAAATGTGTTTTAATATTGATCTTAGTTACTTTTTTTAATATAATACTTGTTTAATTTTTAAAAACATATTTATATACTTACTATTTTTAACTTTTAAATGATGTAAGTTGCCTTGGGACCTTTTGAGAAGAAATATTTTAAATGAATAAATAAAATAAATAGTCATTGGTTAACAGACATTCCCACCTTTTTATGGCCCCAGTGGGCCCATATATGAAATGCGTCAGTTGCAACAATAATATCCCCCTCAATGATGACACTCTAAGTGTCTTTGTTGACTGGGTGAGAGGTACTGAATGCAGAACTGTTAGATCTGCCATAAATTCACCAAGGTAGTCATAAAACAGCAGTTCTGCTTGAAACTCTACCTTTGGGAAAAGTCCTTACAGGCACCTTGGTTTCAAAGTTCTCCATTTGTAAAACTCCTTCCAAATACGTAGTTTCTTACGAAGGCACTGCAATCCGACATTACCCCCACTAAAGTCTCAGAGCAGCTATCTATTCAAATACCACCTAGCCAGCAAATGACAACCTTTGATACTGAGGATAGGGCCTCAGTCTGAAAGTCTACATTGAAACCATCACCCTTGACACAGAAAAAGAGAAAAAGGCCTACAGATTTAGACACCCAACCTAAAACAACTAAAACCAAGAAAACAGAGTCATCAGATACCTGCTCATGAAGTTCTACCAATCTAGTTGTCACCTCAGAGCAAAGACCCTCGTTTGCCTGAGCTCAGCATCTGAAGGAGAGATGTCCAGGGAATGGGCATCCTCACCTGCATTTAGCCATTCCTGGAGTGGTGCCAACTGACCCAGCAAACTTTGAGCAAGCTGTCATCACTTTGCCAGAGCCGGAGGACCACTCAGATCCAAAGAGTCACCTGCCTTCTGGGAGCCATCTTGGGCATTCTTCTCTGATCCAACCTCAATCCTTAAAGAGAAAGAGTCTTCTAGTGGGAAGAGACTTGCCAAGTGTTGATATCTGCAAACAGAAGAGGCAATGCACCCTCCTCATTACTTCTATGATGCTGTACCATAGTTCATCCCTGGCTGTTCTTGCCACTTCACTGCCAGTACTTGGCAATGCAGGGTGACAAAACCATTGGCCCATTTTGAGGCCTACCCATGTTCTTGCCGATACCAGTCCCCTACAACCACCAGTCATAAGGCAAGTGGTTTTGCAATCAACGTCACCTGAATCCAAACACTTGCACTTGGTTTCTAAATCAACTAATCTGAAGCGCTCACATACTGTACAATTTCAGTTCAAAGATTGCCCAAACAAAAGAGGTCCCACTGCACTGACCACTCACATTTGGCGTTGAAATTGCAAAAAAAAGACATCATACCGTGCACTAACACTTGGTATCAAAATCACAAGGGACCCTCTTGGTGCAGTGGTTAAACTGCTGTATTGCAGCCGAAACTCTGCTCACGACCTGGGGTTCGATCCCAGGTAGCCGGCTCAAGGTTGACTCAGCCTTCTATCCTTCTGAGGTTGGTAAAATGAGTCCCCAGCTCACGGGGGGGGGGATGTGTAGCCTGCATAATTAACTTGTAAACCTCTCAGAGAGTGCTTGAAGCGCTATGGGGCGGTATATAAGCTGCATGCGTTGCTTTGCACCTATGTGAAACCTCTCTGCTGTGTTTTACCAGAGTTTGGAAAAGTTACTGTTTTGGGACTGTAACTTCCATGACAAATGGCCATGTTTGATGGGTCATCCTAGGGATTTTATTCCTCTCCCTCCCTGGACTCTACCCTTCTAAGTACTGCTTTTGCTTGCTTGGTATAGCCATTCTCACCGCCAGGTGCAAAAGGAAGGATAGGACTGCAAAGCTTACTTCATTATCTCTACTGAGAGGTTGATGGCTTTAAGGCCCAGGCCAAATGTGTTACTGATCATGCATTCAGCTTTACCAAAGAGACTTTTTAAAAAAGTCAACGTTGGGGCTAGGAGGTTGAGGAGCCTTCACCATTTTTCATTGCTATAGCCTTGTTCAGATTGAGAACCCAATGCACACTATTTTCATCAGGGAATTGGTTCCACTAAAGGGATGTTGTTCCAACTGGGAACATGACAATTGGCCAGATGTTCACACACACCCATCCCATGGTTGTCCAAGCTGGATGCTTTGGCTTAAGATTTTTAAATATTCGCAATAACTATGACACTCACAGTGTCTGGCTATCACTTGTTGCTTCTCACCCCTTGTGCTACTTTGTTATTTTGCCTTTTATATTGTAAGACTATAGATATGTATGATTGTCTTGTTTGTCTTCTTCTTTTTAATAATCTTATGTGAGTATAAGCTTCTATGGAAACCTTGGGATCAAAATCCTTGAAGTAAATAAATACATGTTCAAGTATGATTGCCAACACTTTATATAACATCTGATTAAAGGCTTCAAGGAAATACAAGAACAATCTTGTTAATTATGACTAATTGTACACTATGGTTAGCATGGTAATTAGAAGAGGTACTTCCTTCAAAGGCAAAATACATTTGTCTCTCCCACCCCAAATGTCCTTCAGCTGTGTATTACAATCAATTTTATTGATTGGTTGGTTGATTGGTTATGACTGGTCATCCAGAAGTAGGTCTGATTGCTTAGGCATAGCAAATTTGAAGGAATTTGTCTCTGGAGGGACAATTTTACCACCTTCCAATTGCAAAGTTAGCATATCATATAAGATATGCTAATTTACACATAATGGCATTTAAAGCATAATTTTGATATCCTTTCCATAAGGGACCTTCTCTTCTAAGCAGATGGCAGCAGTCCCTGTGTGAAAGCAACTTCTTATTCATAAGGTTCAGTTGTTTTGAACTCAGTGGGACTTCTGAGTATATACTGATAGTACTGTGCTGTGAAAGTGATACAATAAGTCAGTTCACAGCATGATTCAATAGAATAGTAAGATGGCTCCTTGTCTTTAAGCATACTAATTTTTACAACCCTATCTACTTTCCCCAGATTTAAAGTGGATCAACACAAAGAGTGCAGAAGAGGCTTGTAAAATACTTAAAATAGGCAATAAGAACAGAAGCTTGGCATGCACCAGGATGAATCAGCAATCAAGTAGAAGGTTTGCTGCTTCTAATTATGAAGATGTTCTTCTTTCTTGAGCCTGATATTATTATTAAGGCCACATTCCAGGTACTGTGCATTCAGTATAGGGCTTGTCAGCATGCTCTTCTCCATACAGCAGTCTTCTGAACCACATTTGGACATTTCAATGTTTCAAAACAGACGATTTCTTCTACAGCACTCAGAGCCCCGCATCAAATCAAAACTTGACGAACCTGTTTGATACATCCAAGTTGTTGGCAGTACCTGAAGGGCACAACAACATCCCACTTATGACAGGGAAGGGTGGGGAGGTTATTAAATAATGTTTTAAATATTTGCATACTATAGTTTTAAAAATTTGTAGGTTTTTAATTGCGGGTTTTGATTTTATTTACTTGCCACCTTGGGTCCCCACTAGGGAGGAATATGGTATGCAAATAAATAAATAAATAAATAAATAAAGACAGACAGACAGACAGACAGACAGAATTCTAAATCTGTAGTTCTGTGAGGCACATCCAGAACTTTAGTGTACTTCCCAGAACTGCAGCACTAGAGGTCTCTAGCAGAGAATTTTAAGTAGTTGACAAAATGAAAAAGGTGTACAGGAGGGAGCCATGGTAGTTAAAGTGGTATCACTACCATTACTGTGGAGTAGTATGGATGCACACAGTCTGTCTGTTGTAATAGACACTGTGTGTTGTGATGTTGTCTGTGAGGCAAACATACCCTTATATGATTGCCACTGTGGCCCATCAAGCCCTGAAAGTCTGTTAGTTTTCACAGAATATGGTCATCATCTGGCAATATCTGGCAATTCTTTATTTGAGAAAGATTGTTTGCTTTCAGACGATGACTTGTTAGTGTGAACACACTGCCTCAGAATTCATGGAGTTTAGTGAGGACCCAGATGACATTATCTTGTATTTGTATACTTTCCATGTTTTAACCAGCCTTTTCCCTACCTATTTCTGTTTGAAATATGGGGAGAGGGATAGCTAGTGATGTCCTTTGTTTCTTAACACAATCCTTCAGTTCTGAAGCATATACTACATTGGTGAAAAAAGCTAAATAAAATAAAAATAAAATAAAACCCATAATAAAAGTTCCATAACTCATAATTAGACAATACTGCTATGAGGAACAACTAAAATGCAACAAAATTGTAAGCAAGCTTTTGAGTTGGATATTAAACAAACAAATTGGTTTGAACATGTAGTATGGTATTCATAGCGGCCGCATTTGTTCATGGTACTAAATAGTGCTAAATTCTATAAAAAATACCTATAAAACGTTTAAACAATAATACTGTTTCTCATTTTTAAATGCATTAGATTAGTCAATACCCAACTATTTCCCAAGGGTTTTCTCTGTTTGGGATATCACTGCTGGCACAGCCAAAGGCAGGGAAACAAGTCTTCAAAGCCAGACAAATTCCTTGTGATGCATGAGCAGAAAAATCTCACAAGCACTTTCCCTATCCCTGGCAGTAAATATATGACATTAACTAACTCAATATGTAATAATTTGCTTCTCTTTCATGATAGCCAAAATCTGCTGCCTGAAGTTTCAGCCTCAGTGTCTGGTGACAAGAGTGACTCTCTAATACTAGCAAAGTTTGAGGTGATAAATCCTATGGGGAAACGATGGACTTTGTTGCATTTACCCAATTGATCTCAATAGTACATAGGCATACCTAACTTTCTGTATTCTTAGGGTTCTATGTGTATTAAGAATATTATAAAGTTTGGACATAAATATATGTTTCAGCTAAAGTCAAAAACTTTTTTTTGGTACACTAAATCAGGAGGTTAAGTAAGTAAGTAAGTAAGTAAGTAAAGTAAAGTAAAGTAAAGTAAAGTAAAGTAAAGTAAAGTAAAGTAAAGTAAAGTAAAGTAAAGTAAAGTAAAAGCATTTCATAGGTGTATGAGCCAAATGCCACTTCAGAAAGCTAAAATGGACAATACAGGAAATGTAAGACAAAGTAATTAAATAATAGCACAATAAAACTGAAGCATATATCTGTTTTCCTTCAGCCACAGCATATTCTCCATCCGTTTGCTCAGCCTGACTGATGACGATGTGCCCCATATTCTTGGAGTTTCTGAGTAGGTGTCTTCTCACTTCTGCTAAAGATAAGGCACATATATATGTATTTGTCTAGTGTGATTTCTAAACAATACATGGAAGGCAAACTAGGATTCTTCATCTTCAATAATTGTTTAGGGACAAGCAGCCACCACTCTCTCCTTGGAGCTAGCTTGGAGCTCCCTGATCCTGCCATCATTGTTTTATCACACACAAACAACAGAGAGGTGAGCTACTCTATCTGGGATTTTTTGTCTTCATGAGAACGAACACAAAAAGATCCAGATCCTGCCCTACTTATGCAGATAGAAGAGTCCCTCTTTGGGCTGTAGAGTGGATGTGAAAAAAGTGATGAAGGAAGAGGTGAGACTAGAGTGCACCCTTCATCACATGTGAAAGACATTTTAAGAATGACCAAATAGAGCTTCTTGTCTTTCTATTTATATTGAATGCCAATGGAACCATATCAGCCTCATCTATGTTACGAGAGTTTGTGCTTGATGTTCCACTTAGCTGTGCTAAGTGAAAGGTATGCAGCTCAGTGACAGAGCACAGACTTGTAAGAAGGACTCTCATCTGAAGACATGGACAACCACTAGTCATCAGTGTAACTGTACTGAGTAGGAATGGGCACCATCTTCAGGCAAATGTGGAAAATTGGACCAAATTGGTCATTTGGGCAATTCAAGGAAGAAGGATCGGGCAGAGCAAAAAGCTGCTGGTTATGCTTAAGGCAGAGCAGTGTTACCATGGATCCTTCATGTTCTGTCCAGCATTCATGATGTTAAAACAGTTTTAATAGAAAATGGCTAATGATTTGGAGGCAATGGAAATTGAAAGGCATTAAAAGGTGAAGGTAAGTGGCCATTGAACCTGTTGGGATTGTTTCCAACCTCATATGTTGCCTTTGAGAGGTTTGACTGGGAAGGATCTTTCTGAACTGGGATGACTGTCAATCAATCTAGCAGTAACCAAATGTTTCTGCCTCAGATTTTGAAGAGAAGTACAGGATTTCTGTGCTGATTTGATCAGTATTTTCCATGTCATTCACACAACATAAGGCTTATTTCAGTTAGCTCTATGACTTTTCCATGTGTTTTCTTTTGGTACATTTTCATTCTTCCTGAAAAATGGGATGATTTTTGATTCACTTTGGTCTGACGATTTTGCTGGATAGCTCAGTGAATTAGGCAAAAACAAAGGAAAAATTAAAAAATAAAGAAAAAATGTTATGGCACCATGAAGACTGCTATATTTAAATGTGAACTTTTATGGACAAGTCCACTTCTTTAGAGACAAGAGTTGGACTACGTGACAAATACCTAATTAGTACTACTTCTCTACCCAGAAAATCCTGAAAAAGGACATGATGAGTCAGAATTGTTTTGATAGCACAAAGTTATCATCATCATAATTGATCTGGGGAGTTTAATACTTTGGTGTTTCCCATTGTCTGAAAATGATGTCCATGACAGCCTCCTTGTCAAAAGTTGTTAATTTAAGACATGAAAGAGAGAGAAAATAAAATAAAAAGAGCTTGAAGAGATCTATTAGTGGAGTTAGTAATGTATTTTTATTTTTATTTTTTAAAAAGAGGCTCCTTGTCAAAAGTTAATTTAAGATGTGAAAGAGAGAGAAAAGAAAAGAAAAAGACCTAGAAGAGATCTATTAGTAGAGTTAGTAATGTTTTTTTTTTTTTTTAAAGAGTCCTAAAGATGCAAATTTTGATAAGCTCCATGCGCCTTCATGACCAACCAACCTGAAGATGCAAATTTGGTAAGCTCCATGCGCCTTCATGACCAACCAAGAGAAGGTGGGTTAGAAGTTTTGGTCCATGCAGACCTCTTAATCTGAATCCAAACCATTTCTTCTTGGTTCATCACCTCATCATTTTGAAACAGGTTCAAGGCAGTTGCTCTATAGGGCAGATTTAGCTTTTTAAAAAATAAATAAATTAATTAATAAACCAGTGGTACTTAGTTGAGCCAGATGACTGAAAATAAAAAATAAAAATTGATGCATCTATTAATTTGTACAGGCTTTCTCTGTGTGACCTGGCTGGATCAGAAAGATGCCACAAAGCACAAACTTTTGGAGATAGGCTCAAAGAAGCAGGCAACATTAATAATTCTCTCCTTATTCTTGGAAAATGCATTGCAGCCCTGAAACAAAATCAAAATCCAAAGTAAGTGACCAAAGCAGGTCTTGAAACATTATTCTACTTACAATGCTTTAGGTCCAAACTATTGTTAATTAAGTGCATTTCCCATTTTCCTCAAGCAGAGAAAATTCCAGAGGTTGAGATACCGAGCTTCTCCCCCCTTGATTATATGAGTATAAAAAGCATGTTGTTGTGTTTGTAATAACATAGTGTGTATTATTATTACAAAGATGGCAAAGCCGCCAAACCTGCATCAGATTTCTAGTTTGAAGTATACATGGATAGAAATGTTTGCATTGTCTTGAAAATTTAGCCCTGGGGGTTGTTGAGCATGTTGTTTCTTCTCAGTGGTTGAAAAGCTTACTTCCTGCTTGCTTTCCTAGCCAGGCTGTCACTCCTCAACCCCTGCCTCCCCCTTTTTTGCATTTTTTTTCTTTAAAAGATTGAAAGCCTATCTGATGTAGGACATTCTCATTTTCAATTTATAGTAGGCAGAGAGGAAGAAATGAGAGCAGTTGTATTAACAAAAGTGAGCTAGAGAATAGCTATGCAATATCAAAGGTGAAGGACAAAATAGCAATAGCAGGTGTCTGGACCCATGCTTTTTGCAAATTATCCATACCTTGGTTTTAACATTCATACAACTTTCTTTTCAAGATTAAGACCAGCATACATTCCATTCAGAGAAAGCAAACTGACTCGCTTATTTCAACCGTTCTTTTGTGGCAAAGGCAAAGCTTGCATGATTGTCAACATTAACCAGTGTGCTTCTACATATGATGAGACGCTGCATGTAATGAAGTTTTCTGCTGTCGCAAAACAAGTAAGGAAGATTCTCTGTTCTTTATAATACACTAAAGATGCAATATATTTAACATCACTGTTGTGGTCACCTACTGTCTGGAAACAATCCAATTCATATGCCAACTTTTCCTGGCTGGGCTAGCTCCATGCTATGCAGCCAGAAGAATCCACATTTTTATTCCCAATAGAGAGCTTAGAGTTGCTTACTCCTTTTGGCCAAATTAGTTTAATGGACTTTGGGACATAATCCAGTGATATACAAAACTTTTTTTAATGAGGACATCTACATGTTCTCCTAATGTACAATCTTTCCATTGGTGTATTTAGATTTTGGCTAGAGTTAATTAGCTGTTCTCTTTTCTGAGTTGGATTAAATTCACATCCAGTCTGTGTGAAGGAGTGTGTGCATCGCATGCAGAAGAGTCTCAGGTTTGATACCCAATATCTCGAGACAGATCTTGGGTTAAAAAATTCTGCTTGAAACACAGAGGCCTCTGTCATTCAGTGCACTTGTGCGCTGCAAAGCTAAATAGTGGAAGCCTGTTTTCTGTTCTTGTAGGAAAATGAAAAGGGAGCTGTTGCTTAATAGTTTTAATGGATATCCTTAATTTTATGTTAGAATGAAAGTTTCCAGGGTTTTTTTTAAACTTAGTTTCTTATAATAGCTGAACATTTTAGTCTCAAGTAAGTTTTATATAAAGTGTGCCTATATAAATGGGAGATACTGTCACAATGTTCCTATACCTTCATTTGAAAAATAACCCGCCAATACAATTTACATTTTTTGTACCTAGCAGCTGTTTTTTTTCTTCCTATAGAAAGTGGTGGTTGATTTGATTTAGAATAAATAACAGAAGGATTTTTGCTAATGAGAATATTTCTGATCCTGAGTAATGAAAAGAGTTTATTCTTCATATTAAGTAATAACATGGCCATCAACAACTCTTTTAGATATAGATATGTCCCTAGGGTACATACTGCAACTGCGGTTAGAACAGTCCATTTTAAAGATTTTTTTAAAAAAAAAGACACCTTTTTTTGCTTTGTTAGCTCTTGATGCTGTGTGCACGTGCCTCACTTCTGCTGCATGTGACCTAAAGCCTGAAATGCAGAGGCAGATGTACATTTAAAAAGGCTGAAATTGTGGGAAGTCAATCTGGAAGCCTGGGGTAGGCTGCCTAAACCTCCACAGATGATGTTGGGTTCCAGTTCCCTTCAGTCACAATCAGTCATGGAGAAACTGCTAATCTTGCAAGCCACTGTGTCCATTTTCATTGTTCCCAGGTCATTCAAACATTTCCACACAAAATATTTGATTATTTTGGGAGGGAAAGTAAGCCTACCGTACACTTTGACATATCTGCTGAGCAACTTCCTGAGGACACAGACATCTCTTCCTCTTCTGAAGCAGAAGAGGAAATTGATATTACGATTATGAGCCATGAGGTAATTTCCAACTTTCTTTTCTTTTTTAAAAGAAATTTGTCCATTTGGTTTAACAGAAGAAATTCTGCTGATTGAATCAAATAGTTACCAAGCAATTTTTAAATCAGCGTGGCAAATAAAAGGGTGTGCTGTATCTGAACTTGTGTTTAGCAGTGTTACCAGACATTGCTTTTTATAAGAGACTTCTCAGAGATTTTCTGACAGGAATTTGTGAAACTCTGCTCTCTGGTGCAAGTTGGGCAACTTGCAAAGGCCCAGAGACTGTGTGCATCCATCCTTGGACCTTGGAGGGCCACACTCAGTCCTGCAATCCCAACCCCAAATTGTATCTTACCAAAAAACAACAACCCAAAAACAAAAACACTGAAAAAGCCCTCTGCTCCCCTCCCCACCATGGCCAACTGTGGCATTTGCCCAGGTCATGAATATTCATATGATATCTGCATAGACCATTGGGAGTGCTGGAGGAGCTGAGTCATGAGATATATAAGACTTAGCGGGGGGGTGGAAATAGGGAGTTTGGGAGACTGAAAGAGTTTTAAAGTTTGGGCAGGAGAGTGGTGGTTGAGGGTGGATAAAGGAGAATATCTGTTTAAAAGTTAACAACATTGCTTGTTGTGTCAACACCTGTATCACTAAACAATTTCTATTTGGTACTTTTAAAATGACATATGGCCTGGACCTCAATTATTAATAATAGGTAATGTGGCAGCTGAGGGGCACATAGTGTGAGCTCTTAGTCTGGTGAAACAAATGGGCCATGTGGGGATCGTGACACCAACATTTAAAAAATTTAAATAAAAACAATTATGTGGGGGGATTTCATTGGTGTTGGGTCCCTCAAAACATGGTACAGTAGTGGTTTCCCTTACATCCACTACAGGACACAGATCAGTTGGGAGCCATTCTCTCCCCCTAGCCCTGAAAATAATAGTTGAATGCTTTCAAATCAATTTCAACTTATAGCACCCTTTCAAAGGTTACTCAGAAACAGTGTGCCAGTACTTCTTTCTTCTGTGAGCACTCTGGAAGTGTGCACCCTTTCCAGCGCTACACCAGCTGGTTCTTTCTCCTTGGAAAGGAGATTGAACGTCCAATCTACCTAACTCACTGACTTATTCAGTCAGTTTTCTTAAT